AAGTAGGTGCTTTAGACCACTGAGCCATCTCTCCAGCCCCTGGGTTAACTTTTATACTTTTCCCTCATTCCCTATTCTTCCTCTTACTCATTTCTTCACTGACACCCTACCCTCCTTTGGGTAATAACTTTTATTATTATTATTTTTTATATGTTTAGTACGGGGTCTATAGGGTCTCACTACACAGATCCAACTCGTAGTGATCCTCCTGTTTCAGCCTCCCAAGCACTGGGATTACAAGCATGTGCCACCACACCCAGTCTCAATCACTGTCTCAGCACGCCCCAGGGACAGGGCAGAGCCAGCTGGGCATGTGGTGGCTGGGATGGAATCCTGGTCCCTGCATCTGCCTAAGCAGGCACTTTAATCCACTGAGCTATCTGACTGGCCCTTTGGGTAATAGCTTTATTGTGGTATAATTTGCAACCTACCTTACTATCACTCATTGAAAGTAAACAATTCAGTGTTTTTCAAAATACTCATTGAGTTGTGCAGCCATTACTACCTATTTTTAAAACCATTTTTAATTTTCATCTTAGTTTGACCTCTTCCAGCTTCAGGGTATTCTCCCTCAACCCTTGGTGCTAAGGCTAAAGCCAGTGTGTGCTAACCACATATTCTACCACTGATCAACACCCCAGTCTTTCTGTATATGTGTTCCAACTAATTTCTTTTCTCTGCCTTTCATTCCTTTGGTTATTTTCTTTTACTTGTTTGTGTGCTATGTGTTCATATACTGATAGATATGTAAATATTAACATCTGATATTGTTTGCCTGCCTTACTGTGTGTATAAACCTGACATGGAAAAGACAAATTTCAAAACTAAAGTTATTAGTTATGCTTAATAAATGAGTGATTAAATTATGTATAATTCTAACTTCATTTATATTCAAAGGATTTTTTAATTTCTTTATCTTGAATAAAAAATATTTGAAACATTAATTTTTTTTTTTGTGGTCCTTTCTGAGTAAAATGAATTGGCATTGGCACCTCAAGGGCTATACTTCTAAGCATAAAATATTTTCCTGTGTGTTGCAGTCTAAATCAAGACACAAAAAACTATGAGGATAAATTGTTCAAAATTCTTTCAAGATCAAAGATAATTTTTAAATATTTGTTGCCGTAAGCTCATATACATGAAAGTATATGTATACAGAAAAATCCATAAAAAATGCGTGTACAATTTAACAAAGTTCTGCTACCACAATTATACAGTTGCCCTGAGAACATTATCAGCACCTCAGAAGCACTTCATGTTCCTCTTGCCAATTTTTTTTCATCCTGTAAAGCTAACCACTGTTTTGACTTGGTAATTGTAGTCTTTTTCTTATAGTTCTTTGAGATTTACCAACTTAGAAACTGGCTTACTATAATACTTTTGCCTTTCTTCAATCTTTAAACATATAAATATAGTCATATATTATATATTATGTCTTTAATATTGTGAGGTCTGTCTAAATTGTTGTGTCTAATAATGCTTTGGTATTGAAAATAATAAATTGTTTAAATGTAATATAAATTATCCTCAAATAACTTCTAAATATATTTTACCTTGATTTTTAGGTTATAAGCATCTATTCAATTCTTCTGCAATTCTCAAAAACACTATCATTTTTTATTATTTAATATTTGATTTTTTAATTAAAAGGAGATGTGTTCAGTAGGATCAGTTAACAAATCTTGTTAAGAAAGCATAATTAACATTTTGTTGTAGAGAGTAAATGAATATTGCTATAGAAGATGTAAATGAAATACCAGCTAATGTTTATTTACACAATATGATTTAGAGTCTGTGTTCTGTTACTCTGTTATTCTAAAATAGTTTAATCTCTAAGTGTAAATTCCAAAAGGAAAAAAGATTTACAGTTCTTATCTTTTTTGGTAGGAGGAATAAACATGGTGTGTCTCGAAAGAAGATTGCTCAGATGTTGGATCGTTATGAATATCAAATGTCCATCTCTATTGTAATGAATTCAGTGGAACCGACACAGAAAAGCACACAAAGACTCCCTCCTCCACAGGGAAGCCAGAGGTGGGGAGGCTCTGTAGGCTCACATAATCAAATCTGTGTTGCAGATAATCATTGAGTTGGCTATTTTCAGCTAACATTTATTGCTTGCTCTTGAAAAAAAGATAGTGAGCCTTTCTCAAAGATTAGTTTTAAATAAAAAAAAAAGACTACATTGCCTCACTATGTTTCCAGCAAGTTGTTTAAATTTTAAAGTACAAATAAAATTATATAAAGTTGTATATTAAATGCTTTTATAATTTTTTGTAGTAAAATCTTTTGAGTATAAAAACCCTTGAGTAGTAGAATGGATAGGAACTAGGATTTTTTTCTATAATCGAATTTTAAGCTAATTTTATAAATAATGTTAAACAGCTTTTTATAGTTCATACCGAAATCTAACTTTTTGTGAATATTTGATATTTTTCCTTCACTAACTTAAATATGGAAGAAATACCAGCTTATTGAAGGATATCTTAATTCATACCAGTATTCAAGTGTATCCCAGTTAACTTGTGTGACAAAATCATTTCTAGGCCATAATAACGTATCACTGACATGTAAACAAAATTCCCCAGCAAATGGTAGACAGTAAATATATCAATCACCTGGAGAGTTTTCTTGTGTATATAAATGTTTATCACATAATATATACTCATCATCTTTCTTCTTAATTCCTCTGCCTATCCTCACATTTCTCAATTCAAAAGGGATACAGAGACAAGTAACTACATAGTTCGAAAAGCCTCCTCAAGTGATTCTCATAGTGTATCACTTTGTTCAATTTACTGTTTTTTGTTGTTGTTGTTTTTTTTTTTTTTTTTTTTTTTTTTGAGTTAAGGTCTTGCTATGTAATTCAGGTTGGTGTTGAACTAAGTATGTAACCCATTCTAGCCTTGAACTCCACAGCAGTTCTCCAGTCTTAGCCTCCTGAATGCTGGAATTATAGGTGTGTGTCACCATGCCCAGTGGCTGTTGTTTAATTCTAATATTAAGAAATATTTTGAACAAGTGCTTAGCATTGATCATAAGAAAATTTGTTCTATAAGGTATTTCTCATGTCACTGTACAGTTTTATTAGATCATGTTCTTTAACTTAAAGTTTTTTTCATCAATTTTCTTTGGTGGTTTTGTTTTGCTTTGGTTTTTTGAGACAGGGTCTCTATGTAGATCAGATGGGCCTTACACTCACTCTGTATCTTAGGGGGGCCTTGAACTCATGGTGACCCTGTGGCCTCAGCCTCCAAAGTGCACAGATTACAGGCAAGTGCCCTCAAGCACAGCTCTGATTTAAAATTTTAAAAATGAGATGTACTTCATTGTAGGTCTTGTAATTAATCCTTGTCTTCAAACAGGGCTTTGTCTGGTCTGTCCTAAACAAACATTTCTCACTGCCACATGAGAAAAGAAACATTAGCACCTTTACTATCTATTCCCAGTGTTTCATAGAAAATATTTCCTTAGTCATTGATTTATTCTTTTTATCAGGAAAAATTCCAGCTAGTTACAAAATGGTTTTTTTGGTAAAAGTTAAACATTATGATCCTTTATATGTTTTACTGGCTCACTTGCTTGCTTGCTTGCTCTTCCTTTTTCTTTTCTTTTTGGTACAGGGTCTTGCTACACAGTTTGGACTCACAGGGATCCTCTTGTCTCAGCTTCCCCAGTGCTGGGACTTACAGGCATGTGGTACCAGGGATCGAACTCAGATCCTTGCCCTTGCCAGGCAGGCGCTTAGACTGCTGTGCTATCTTCCCAGCCCTGCCGGCTATTCATGACACTTAAACTTCTCCTAAAATATCCCATTCTGGCCAGGCATGGTAGCACATGCCTATAATCCCAGCACTCAGGAGGCTGAGTGATGAGGATTGTTGCAGGTTTGAGGCCAGCCTGTGAACTACATAGTGAGATCCTGTCTCAAAAAAAAAGCTTGTTCTGAATCTTGTAATCTTTCTTCATGTGTTTTAAAACCTTTTGCTAGTCTTTTTAACTTTACTTTAAAAGTTTTAAAAAATTATATCATTTTTGAAGTGAGCTGAAAATAGAATACTACTATCAACAAAATCTTTATTACAGTGCTTTTAGTAAAACAGGAGTGTGATTTCTGTTTATGTGTACTGATCAGTGCTATTTACATTTGGATATTACCTTGCTTTGCCTTTTTTACATATGTGATGCTTGAATATATTTGTTCATCTTAACTAAATAGGAAGTAGAATATACTAACTCATGGTTTGTATATGTGTGTGTGTGTATATATATATATATATATATATACACACACACACATACACATCTCCTTTGTCCAGTGTTTTTATATATTCTTAGAATAATGCTTTTTGGTAGTTGAACTTGTATTTTTCCCCATGGTTTATTATGTAAATTAGCATAGTTTTAAAATCATATGAAAGGATTGAATTTGGGGACAAATGAATCAGTTGTGGAAAGAATTAAGTTTGTGAACTGATATGGCACTGTAAGTACTTATGGAAGCAGGGACATTAATGTTTGAGACTTTATTTTTAAAAACAAAAAAGTAATTAATAGTTCCTCTAAGTATTAGAACTGCTTTTTGGTTTTTAACAAAATGGTGGAAAGTGTAAGCAGTGATCACTATTATAAGACATTGTTTGACATGAAAAAACTCTATTAAAATGTGAAATTTATCAATTTTTTATCAAAAAGTTCTTGTATTCAAGTTTGTGGGGGTTTTTTTGTTGTTTTTTTTACAAGAGTGAGACTTTAATCAGTTTTAAGTGGCGTTTATAACACTAAGAGAATTTAATTGTGGGGTTTTTGTTTGTTCATTTATTTGTTTTGAGATAGGATCTCACCGCTCTAGTTCAGACAGGCCTTGAACTCACTAGGTAGTTCAGACTGGCTGTGAGCTCATCATGATCCGCCTGCCTCAGTCTCCTGAATGCAAGGATTACAGGCATGTGCAACCACGTCTGTCTTAAGATAGACCAGTTTTATAAGTTTTTAAGTTTTGAAAGTTCATGATTTCAAGGATATGAAGTACTTGTTTTGACTTTTATTTTTTTCTGCAGGTATTTGAAGATGTTGAGGAAATATAGTTGTTAATGTTTTAGTGCCTTAACCTAATAGATTTGCCAATCTATTGACATTTAATGTACTATTCTGACACAAATGCAGTAAATACTCTGGGCTGAAGTTGTATTACTTTATTTGCTTTGACAGCTGCAACCCACTCAGAGTAGTAGTGCCTCTCTGAAATCATGACAAAGTCTTAATTTAGTTTTGGTATCTGACCATTCAGAATAGATTAATTTGGGCAATATATGGAATAGATTGGGTTGGTGGTTTTTAAAGTTGAGTTTTAGGAGTTACAATTTCTAAATAAAATTTTGTTTTCTATTAAATGTTTAGCTGTAGTTTTGTATATTTACTAGGAAGGAGAAATTGTATTAAGGAACTAATAATGTCCTATTTGGTGATTGCTTTCTTTCTCTTTACAAATAGGATTGTCATACTGATTGTTATTGTCATTACTATTTTTTATTATTACTATCATTATTATTCTGTTTGTGGTATTGGAGATTGACCCCTACAACTCCTGTACCCTGGACAAGCACTATACCAAGGAGCTACATTCCCAGACCTTATTAAAATTTTATTTTATTTTATTATTATATTTTAATTAATTTTATTGAGAAATAGCAACAAGACAGTTTCAAAACAGGTTAGTAGGACAGTTACAATAATTAATACATTGCATAACATTTTATTTTGATGCATTTTCTCCTTAAAATGCTTAGGCTAAACTTTACAATCATACTTTAGCCCCTGGAGTAGCCCGGATTACAGACAAGTGCCACTGTACTCTCTTTTAAATTAAGACACCTCCTCATACACATAGCTAATGTTTTTTTTAACTATCCTCAGGATAATTAAGAAATAGGCTTAAATTTGTTAAAATAGATCTTAGAAAAGGGATTATTGAGTATCTTGTATGTTTTTGTTATTTTTTACTTTGCAAAGCAGTTATTTTGCTTAATTGAATTTAGCTGATTCAAATTAAGAACTTTCTTAAGCCTAAAATATTTTCACTTTGAATGGCTTGTAAATTTCAGCAGATCTTGAAAAGTTCATGGTTATGATTGCCTGCAACTAAATTGATAAAAACTTTTTTGTTTTGTTTTGTCTTTTTTTTTATTTTTGCGGTACCATGGATCAAACTTGGGATCTTGCACTTGCCAGGAACATGCTTATGCCACTGAGCTATCTCCCCAGCCCTTTTTTGTATTTTTGAGACAAGGTCTTTCTATGCAGTTCAGGCTGGTCTTAAGCTCACTTTGTAGCTCTGGCTGATCTTGAATTTCCGATAATCCTCCAGCCTCAGACTCCTGAGTACTGGGATTACAGGCATGTGCCACCACATCCAGCTTAAAATTTGTGAAAAAATATTTACTATATATATCCAACATGTTACAATGTAATGAATGTCATATTTTTTGTAATAAAATATATATGTGTATAAATGGTAGTTCTGAAATATCTCTTATATGGAAATTCCTAACATCTTGCTACTGTCAAATTGTAAGAGAAAAGTGCAACACAAATAACTTTTGAAAAGAGAGCTTCAATAGTACATAAATTTTCTCTTGTTTTAAAAAAATAGTACTGGGGGCCTGCCCCTTAGTTCAGTTCTTTAAGTGGCTGCTTCGACAAAGCAGTCAGGCTCATGTTGCTGTGGTTCGATCCCCACAACTCAAGCCAGCCAAACCTGCCCTGAAGGCATTCAGAACAAAAAATAAAAAAATAGTGCTAAGAATTGGTCCCATGTATAAATTTTTTTATTTTGAGACAAGTTCTCACCAATTGAGCAGGCTGGTCTTAAAGCCCCTTGCCTTAGTCTCCCAGATAGCTGGGATTATAGGCATATACTCTTTAGAAACTAAAGTTATGTGTTGGAAAATTTTAAGTGATTTTATTTAATAGAAGTTTAATCATTTGCAATGGGGAGGTAGCTCAGCAACTTAAGCTCCTGCCTGGCAAGCACA